GGGCACAGCGGGTGCACAGACCCGGGAACTCAGCACAGGGATGGTGGGAGCTCCTCATAATGGGCACAGCAGGTGTACAGACCCGGGAACTCCGCACAGGGATGGTGGGAGCTCCTCATAATGGGCACAGCAGGTGTACAGACCCGGAAACTCAGCACAGGGATGGTGGGAGCTCCTCATAATGGGCACAGCAGGTGTGCAAACCCGGGAACTCAGCACAGGGATGGTGGGAGCCCCTCATAATGGGCACAGCGGGTGTACATACCCGGGAACTCAGCACAGGGATGGTGGGAGCTCCTCATAATGGGCATAGCGGGTGTACAGACCCAGGAACTCAGCACAGGGATGGTGGGTTCGGCATAAGCACCCACTGTATCACCAACAAGGACAGGCCACGAGAGTAGCCCGGCCCGGCTCTACACAAGCACACGCTCGCTGGTAGGTTTCGGCAGCAATTTCATTTTAAAAACCATAAGCTTTACTAGAGCAGCTGTGTCCTCCACATGCGTCTCCATGACACGGCTGACCGTCGTACACCTTTAACAGAGTGCACAGGCCTCGCAGACCCGGTCAAGTCTGACAAATTATTATTTGTAGCAGATGGCTAATGCGGTCCCACACGGCACCGCACGACTCTCCGGGCTATACGTACATGGGGCTAGGACACCCGCCTGGATAATTTCATTCGCTGTCCTATAATTGCCTTGTTACCAGCGCGGATCTTGGGAACCGGCCAAAAACGTGCGGCTTGAAGGAGGAGGATACTGTGCCTGTGTATTCCAAACTGAAGGATCCACACAAAACAAAAGGCCCCAATTACCACCGGAGGAAAGCCATGACGTTTCACGGAAAACGCCATTCTGATTTTTTTTTTTTACTGTTTCCAAGGCAGCAAAGGATGTCAAAGTGACTGACGTCCTGAATTCCTAAACTGGCCGTTTCTACAACAGTCATGGACACATTAGGTAATACTTCAGGGGATGTTCATGGTTAAAGGGGCCAGTCCCGTCAAGAGTGATATTTATGTTATGGGTGGAATCTGGTGGGCTGAGTCACTCACTGGCTTTTCTCCAATCAACAATTTGAGTTTACTGCATTGCAATGTAGGGGGGTGTTGGACCTCTGCACAGAGACCACTACTTCCACACAGAATGCAAGGGCCCTTCTCTGCAGCATGCTGGCAGGGGACAAGCTTTTTTACTCAGGCTGTGGCTGCTTTTTAAAGAAAATGAACTAGAAGACTTTGTACCTCTATTGCTTTGATGCTCCTAGATTGTATTTAGCTCATTTAAACTGAAAGTTGAATTGGGCTTTAACTACTTGCCGTCCAGCTATTGTAATTAAAAGGATGAATGGTGAACTCTTACGGCAGGTGGAACGTCCTTTCCTGCTCCTGGTCCGGGGGAGAGCGCGCGCAAGCGGGAGACGTGAACATCGTGTACAGTCAGTGACGGCTGTTACGTACAAGCGTTCAGGTGGCTACAGAGCCGCCCGATCGCTTGTACGGTGAGGGAAGTGTATGCCCCCCTCTACCACTGCTGCTGGATATGCCAGGCTCTGCTGTCCCAAGTGCTGGCCCAGGACTGGCACAGAGGGTCTCTGCACTGAGATCGGAGGGAGATCAGCATATATCCACCCACTGATTTTCCCTCCCATCACTGAACCCAGAAGCGATGTGTATTACATCACTTCCGCTTTCAGCCTGTCATTTTCTGGCTGCTGTAACTGGAGAAGAAGCTGATCTGTGCCTCATCAGCTGTTTTGAGGTCCTTAGGTGACATTAGGGGTCTAATAGACCCCTGGTGTCTCCATAAAAAGGACCTGTCACTGTGTCTGTGCCATCACATAGACATGCGATAGCAATAAAGTTTAAAAAGGCAAGTTTCAAAAAAGTTTATAAAATATATAAAACATTATTATTTTTTATGAGGCCCCGTCCCCATGTACACAAACACACACAGGGTGAGCCTACGTGCAAAAATGACAATTACACCACACAAAAGTTACTTATCACCATGAACATTAGTTAATACTAAACTGATGACGCTAAAAGCTTTTAAACCTTTGCATAGGGGCAATTTTGAGTATGGTAGTTTTTGGAGATTTCGCACAATTTTAAGACTTGACATGCTTGGTATCTATTTATCCGATTTCACCTTTGGCAGGCGGTGTCGCTTCACAACTGCAATCGATGGGACTGCGCCACAAGTGTGTGAGTACAATTGAAAATCCCATTAAAAAACGCACTTAGGAGGCAGCAGTATCTCCTCCCCAATGCTGAACAGTCATACGTAGTAATAGTAACATGCAATCTCCTCTTTAAACGCAGATGTATCTAACTACGCCGCGTTGATCTTATCGGGAAGCGACGGGGGACCCTGACAAGCCGCGGCGAGTAGGACCTGCCAATCTCTCTTCATCCCTTTACAGATAGTCCTGGAGAGCCCGGGAGGATTAAGGCGTGTGCAAAGGGATTAAGTGAAATTATACAGCACTCGTCACCTTTAACCCCTTCAGGCTCCCGGGGTTTCTGCGGAGAGCTGCGCCGAAGGGGGCCACCCGAAAGGTTAAATCTTGATTATTTTTTTTTCCCGGCGTCCCCGTCCGCCCGTCTGCCAATCTAAAATACAATCTCCTTCCAGTGCAGCTGTGTGAGAGCGCAGATAAAGGCGGCACGCCGGGAATGGAAGTTATGGTTTTACGCTCTACAATCGCCTGAGTGGAGTAGCTGAGGAAACGCTCTCTTTTTCTTCCCCGTAATCCTATTTTCTTTGACGTTGGCCTCCAGATACCAGAGTCACAATTGCTGCCGGGCTTATTGTAGTCGCCGAATCAAAGCTTTGGGGGGACGCAATCTAAGAGGGAATATGCCTGGTTTTCTTTCTGAATTTTTAAAGTAGGCATAAAAGCTCGAACCTGATTGGCTATTGGTGATCTCTGAACCTTTGCACACACATAACATTCATTAATATAATTGACCACAAAAAATCCATCCATGCATCCAAATGTCTGTCTGTCTGTCTGGTCTGTCTACGGAAATATCACCATAGTGACCCAGGCGGCCGCTATGTATGGGGCCCAGGGCACAGGGGGGCCCAACCAGGACGAGGAACAAAGGGGTTTCCCAGATGGATCATGATTTAACCTATTCATGTTAGCAGGGGATAATTGTAACTATTACTGCAGTGTAGTGGATGTACGTGCTGTATATGTACTACGGATCATGATTTAACCTATTCATGTTAGCAGGGCAGAATTGTGAGCGCCTCCCACAAGCTGAGCACCGAGATGCGATGCAGCGATCCTGCCCAGCGCCGACTACAAGAGGCACCGCATGAGGCTACGGGGATCGGAGTGAAACTGTGAGTAAGGGAAGCTGGGACGGGGCTGGCTGTAAATCTATTGCTATAGTGTACTGGACGTGTGTAATGTATATGTAGTGCATATATACAGCACACACCTCCACTACACTCCAGCAATAGAGTTACAATTCTCCCCTGCTAACATGTATAGGTTAAACCATGATCCATAGTACATAACATGTAGTTGTACTATGGATCATTTAAAGTCACCTGTCCCTTTAAGAAAAAGTATCGGTAATTGGTATCGGCAAGTACATGAGGGATGTACTTGTACTTGTACTTGGGCCTGAAAAAGTGGCATCGGGACATCCCTAATAGACATGTTAGCTGCAGAAAAATTTGGTTCTGTTTGGATATTTTGTTATCTTGTCATTCGGATGCGAAATTCAATTCGGTTTGGGTTTCGGATAAAATCCGAATTTCGTTAGTTTCGGATGAGTTTACGAACAAATATTCGTTACGACTACCACAGAAAACCATATACAGATATTAATACTAAAGCTGAGGCTCCTAGACATTCAGGATCCGAATTTCTGAATTGCGTTTGGGAGCTCCCGAATGCCAATCGGGTCTGGGAGCCATATATATATATTACTAAAGCTGAGGCTCCCAGACCCGGATGGCATTCGGGAGCTCCCAAATGCAATTCGGAAATTCGGATCCTGAATGTCAATCAGGACTGGGGCCCTCAGCTTTAGTATTATATGTATATGGCTCCCAGACCCGAATGGCATTCGAGATCCAAATTGACGAAAAGCATTTGGGAGCTCCGGAATGCCATTCGGGTCTGGGAGCCATATACATATAATACTAAAGCTGAGGGCCCCAGTCCTGATTGACATTCAGGATCCGAATTTCCGAATTGCATTTGGGAGCTCCCGAATGCCATTCGGGTCTAGGAGCCTCAGCTGTAGTATCATATGTATATACTGAACAAGAATTTTCGTTACGGCATGTGACTTTTCTGGCCAATCAGATGGCTCCCATGTTGCCATAACTCGTGTTCAGACCCATTCAGATGCGTTAAACTGAAAAATACATCTGATTGGCCAGAAAAGTCACATGTCCCATTCAGTTTCGTTTTTGAACGAAATTCGGACGTGATCCGAAATTCGGAAATGTAAATTCGGATTCGGACACATTCGGATGCGTCGGGATTCGGAAATTCGGATGTGTCGAATCACATATGTTTAAACGATAATGATGAGTGAATCTGCACCTGGGCCCACATGGATGTGCAGGTTCGGGTGTGCGTGTGACCGCATGCAATTGTGTGCAGCCGAGTCCTCCCATAGGGAAGAACATGCTGCAGTGCACAATTACAGGCAGCACCTGTTCCCTTCCTGGATCAGGATACTTTACGGGCACGCACGCCACAGTGTTTCGCTATCGCACAGAGCAGTATTGCATGCTAGGTGCGCTGTGTTTCCATTCATTCTGAATGGCACCCCAACGCACCTCCTGGCAGGACTGTGTTGCAGCACTGCGTATTACCGCAATAACATGTTGCGTCACTGTGCAGTGTTTAAAAAGTATTCCATGTACTACCTTTCATCACTGCACGGCTACCCAAGCTATTATATGACATACATATATACTATACATACAGCCAATGAACCACAAAACATGTCTTCTTACCAGACGCATTCTTCAGATAGCCATTGGCGTCCACCGTCATGTACATAATATAGGGACCGGGCTGGTTAACTCCGAAAGGCTGAAAGAAGAGACAATTGTTACTGAAATAAAAAGACAAACAACGTATTACAAGCAACGAAAGGGAACCAACATGTCAGGAGGAATCACTGAATTGGTGACAGTATACTGAAATACCTGAAGGTCTCCTACACATTGATGACACGTGATACAACATGCGTTTACTTGCCTCAAAACAGAAATGCATGTATCATGGTTACAGTGGGGTGCCAATTTTGTTTTATAATGTCCATTTATAATGAACAGGCGGCTGCCTTAAACACAGAACTTTTTTCTAAATATTTTTTCCTTTAATATACATTTTCCAGACTTTCTGGGAGCCACTGGACGGGACTGTAGCCTCTTGCCAGCAATTCTGCACACTGCAACTTTGTTTTTGTTAGGGATGCATTGATACCGGTTTTCCGGTATGTAGTACGAGTAATGCTACTTTGCTTTCGGTACTCCCGCTGGTATGGAGCTGGCTTCCAGGGCAATCAGGAAGCTGGAAGGTGGGTCATTACTCGCCGCCTGCCTTCCTGATTGCCCAGGAAGCCGCCACCATGTTGTTTGGCCGGCTCGCTTCTGGAAACCGGATTCCCAGCCAATCAGCATCAAGCCGGCTTTCTGGCCAATCAGGAAGCCGGGTGGCGAGTAATGAACCGCCTCCCCGCTTCCTGATTGGCCGGGAAGCTGGCTCTACGCTGATTGGCTGGGAAGCAGGTTTCCCGGCCAATCACAGAAAAAAAAAAAATCTATAGATTTGTATAAAGAGACAGTTATGGTGTGCAGAGGGAGAGAGGGATTTAGGAGAATGCCTCATGGGGTGAGTTAGGGAGCCATGAGGAGCAAGAACGCTGGTGGGGTTAATGACGCAGTGACTGCAGATGGCGCCGCGAATGTCAGCAAAATTGTAGAAATGTCACCAGCACACCAGTCCTTTTAGGATAGCAAAAGCTTCATTTATTGAAGTTTTTTGTCATATGACCAACAAGCGCTTTCGGGACCACACAGGGTCCCTTCATCAGGCTTTAGCATTGACGGGCTTTCAGACTTGTCACACCATATTTTTCCCGCGATGATGCAATCAATTTCAATGAGATCCAACAATTTTCCCAATTGGGTAATGAAAGCCCTAAAATTTTAATGTTTGGGTGTTAAAAATTGTGATCATGTGTTATTTTAGAAGGTTAAACTGTGCAGTGCGCACGCCAAATACGCATTGGAAATACATAAATATGAAAGATTCTACAATCAGGTGGTTTAAGGCCCCTTTCACACGGGTGATGATGATCGAGAACGGGGGTTCCTAGATGGATCCACTGCCGAGTTGGATCACAATGGAGAACGGCTGTCACATGTTACATAGTATTTGAGGTTGAATAAAGACACAGGTCCATCAAGCTCAGCCTGTGTGTGTCTCTGTGTGATTGTGCGTGCATGTGTGAATAAGTCCCTGTGTGGTCTAGTTTTTATGAGTACCTGTACCCCTGTATGTTACGGTCTCTGATTCGACACCCTCTGCAGATACCACTGCTTGTGGCAGAGAGTTCCAAAATGGAACCGCCCTAACTGAGAAGAAGCCCCTACGCCCTTTGTGGTTAAATCTTTTCTCTGCAGATTTTAGGCTCCATTCACACCTGAGTGGCTGTCCCGCCGAATACGCACAGAGCCGCTCTAAACAGAAAATACAATACACTTCAATGTGCATCGTTCAGACCATTGCGGGGGCCCACGCGGTTTCCCGAAATAGTACAAGCACGATAATCTGCACGTTCGCGGCGATATAATAGCCGCAAACAAGTGGCATCCGTGAGGATTCAAAATATTAGCGTTTTTGTCCCACATGATCTTCCGCATGGAAAACCGTGCGGGAACCGCAAACGCTATAGGTGAATGCAGCCTTAGGTGATGTCTGTGTCTGTGTGTACATGTGACATCTGTGGTGGTTCCACTTTTTTCTGCATCCCAAGATGTCATTCCTGTGGGTGGCCCGATGTAAACAGACATGCATACCCCTTTATCCTCCCACATCCAGTCATGCATACCCCTTTATCCTCCCACATCCAGTCATGCATAACCCGTTCTCCTCCCACATCCAGTCATGCATACCCCTTTTTCCTCCCATATCCAGTCATGCATAACCCCTTCTCCTCCCACATCCAGTCATGCCTACCCCTTTCCCCTACCACATCCAGTCATGCCTACCCCTTTATCCTCCCATATCCAGTCATACCTACCCCTTTATCCTCCCATACCCCGTCATGCCTACCCCTTTATCCTCCCATATCCAGTCATGCCTAGCCCTTTATCCTCCCATATCCAGTCATGCCTAGCCCTTTATCCTCCCACATCCAGTCATGCCTACCCCTTTATCCTCCCATATCCAGTCATGCCTACCCCTTTATCCTCCCACATCCAGTCATGTATACCCCTTTATCCTCCCACATCCAGTCATGTATACCCCTTTATCCTCAAAATCCAGTCATGCATACCCCTTTCTCCTCCCACATCCAGTCATGTCTTCCCCTTTCTCCTCCCACATCCAGTCATGTCTACCCCTTTATCCTCCCATATCCAGTCATGCATACCCCTTTATCCTCCCACATCCAGTCATGCATACCCCTTTCCCCTCCCACATCCAGTCATGCATACCCCTCCATGCTCCCACATCCAGTCATGTCTACCCCTTTCTCCTCCCACATCCAGTCATGCATAACCCTTTATCCTCCCACATCCAGTCAGGTAAGTAAAAGTGGACGTTTTGCATTTGGTCCAACAGATCTAAACAGACCCGGAAGTGGGCGGATATATGTTTGTTTACATCCAGGAACCCACATGGATGCTTTGCAACCAGTTTTTGATCCCTGTATACACGGGTCAAAAACGGACTGACGCAATGCCCATGCGAAAGGGACCCAACCCTCCAGCATCTACCAAGCACTGAAATATCAGTCTTGGGTGGACCAGTCATTTAACTTTAGTCATAGAATCCTGATGGTGAACGCATCAATAATCCTACCAGCAACCAGGATGGTACAACTGCCGTTTTGCTTGACGTGTGCTCCGCTTCGATAAATCAGGCATGTTCCTAGTGCAGCACAGTGTCTATATCCTGAACCAAGCTAGTGAAAGTGTCTTTGTGAGATGCGGACGGACAGCCGAGGTCAGAATACTGAGGAGGGGAGTGGAATTGGGATGATTCATCTTTCAATGGTGCAGAAAATAGGCCTTTCAACATCCAGTAATGCAAATAATCGGAGGAATGATGGAGGGAGAGCGGGGTTTTGATGGACGTGCACAAACGCGGCCAGAGATGACTCGATAGATCCTGCCGCTCATCTCGTCTTCGCGCAGAGGCAGCTAGTTCATGTTAATAACATCCTCTGTTTTGGCAGCCTAATACTCAGTACAGCCAGATAGTTGTCATTAATAGGAGCAGGAAGAAAACAACTTGACCTTTCGTGGCTTGAAGGACAACATTCTGCTGATCTTTTCAGGGAACGATTGGGGTGAGCTAGACATTCATTAGTGGCACGTGTGAGAGCCAACGTGGGTTGGGATGGATGAAAACAGGCCTGACTCACCAATACAAATCTATTATCCACTATGAGCCTGTACACCAATGAGTGATGGGTAATAGGCCAACAAAACCAGTTAAAACTAACCTTTCAGTTCCTTCCCGAGTAGTAAAACAAAAGGTTTGCAAAAGAATTACAGTTAGTTTCCTTTAGAGAATAGCAACCCCCTGAGAAGAAAAGTATGTCCCCTGCCAGCATTCTGCAGAGAGGGACCCTTACTCAGAGGGAAGCAGTGGTCTCTCTACAGAGGTCTGACTTGACTATGAACCTAGAGCTGTTATACCATGAAAGCTCATTCTCCCTGCTGATTAGAGAGCGCTAGCTCTGACTTAGTAGGGGCTGCTGGGAGACCTTTGCAGAGACACCACTGTTTCCACACACACAGCTGAACTAAGGCAAATCTGTGCTTTGCACACGCAGGTTCAATTTGCTGTTCCCTACACAAGTGACCGATACTATTCAGAAGTGTCCCATACTATTCAGAAGTGGCCGATACTACCCGCAAGCGTCAGCTACTACCGCCAAGCGTCCGCTACTATCAAAAAGTGGTCGATACTACTCGCCCGTGGCCAACACTACCCACAAGGGTCTGCTACTACCCACAAGGGTCCAATACTACCCACAATGGTCCAATACTACCAAAAAGTGGCTAATACCACCCACAAGTGTCCGATACTAGCCACAAGTGGCCGATACTACCCACACTTTTCCGATACTACCCACGAGTGTCAGATACTACCCACGAGTGTCCGATACCACCCACAAGTGGCCAATACTACCCACAACTGTCCAAAACCACCCACAAGTGGCCGATACTACCCGCAAGTGGCCGATACTACCCGCAAGTGGCCGATACTACCCGCAAGTGGCTGATACTACCCGCAAGTGGCCGATACTACCCGCAAGTGGCCGATACTACTCGCAAGTGGCCGATACTACCCACAAGTGGCCGATACTACCCACAAGTGGCCGATACTACTCGCAAGTGGCCGATACTACCCACAAGTGTCCGATACTACCCACAAGTGGCCGATACTACCCACAAGTGGCCGATACTACCCACAAGTGGCCGATATTACCCACAAGTGTCCGATACTACCCACAAGTCTTGAAGCTTAACAGGAAATCCTGGCATTTGGCCGTAACAGGAGGCTTTTTGAGGCTGCTACAGGGAATGCATAGCTGGGCATTTGCACGTTATACCTGCATCAGTTTTTGTTTTAGGAACAAAGTCAATATAAAAGGTTCTGCGTTTTGAATACGAACAATGATTTCACAGATCTCTAGTTATTTTGTTGGCCCTTTTAAACTCTAATTCCATTTTTCTTTCTTCTACTATAAATGTGACTAAAGCGGGATTTTTTGTTTCCATTATTTTCTTGAAAGCTCCAGTTAACAAATGCAGGTCAAGAAGGCAAGCTTCCTGTTCACTTTGCTGCCATTTATCATGCTGAATATATTTGTGAACGGAGAAGCCCCATCGTTTCAAGCAGCAGTTAAGATGGAAAGAAAACTTCAAAAGAACGCAGCCCGGGAGTCGAGTGCGGCGAGGGTTTTCGGGATCCACGCTGTCAGGAAAATCAATCACACAGCGGCTTTGCAAGTAGACCTCGGAGACACCGCTTGTAAAAAAAAGTTTCTTGCGAGGGTCCACTGAGGTTTTATGCACATGCAATGCTAGCGAGGGGAGGAGAGATGTTACCGATAATGCTGAACCCAAAATAGTGTTTCTATAAAGCTAAAGTCCAGGCAGATGAAAATCATTCAATGTATTTTTAATAAACCTAGTGTATGTAGCTGATTCTGTTTTCATATCATCCTCTTTTAATCCCTGTTACAGTAGGGGAGACAGAGACTGGGAGAGGGAGAGGTCACACTAGGAGTCAATAAGGTGTGCTGCAGGGCACATGTGCTGACAATGAATATCATTAAAGCCCAAAATACAGGTCCATGTTCCAAAGGCATCGCAAGGGAGTGCGACCCACCCCAGGTAACACCTTCAGATGGGGTGACACCAAAATGACTGACAGCCATTTTGGTGGCACCCCATCTTAAAAGCCAGGCACTTGATTATGGCCTGAGAGCCGGACAGCGTCACAAGAGAGAGAGAGGGGGACTTGGTGGCATACCTGATCTCACCGGGTCAATATCCCCTTCTCTCTTTGCTGGTGTCCATCACCAAGATTGCCCCCTGCAGTGAAGCACATCACTGCGCATGCGTGATAATGTCACACCTGATTGGGCTGGGAGGGGGCGGTGGTTTTGAGCAGGTTTGTGCGAACCGTGTTCGCACCGAGCCCATGCTAACCTCTACTTTTGATACGTTTACCAGGAGGAAGGATTTTATGTTATCACCCACCTTGAATCCTTCTCTAGTTTTCACTTTATCCTTAATATTGATGGGTGGAAAGCTCAAGCAGGCCAGTATCTCTGCTGCCCTGATACTTAGAGATAAGCAGAAAAACCTCACTGATCACAATGGTATATCTCATACATTAGCAAAACCTGTACTACCAAGTACTGAAACATGACAGAGAGGCCGTGCTGTGCAGTCACGTGACAAGAGGCAGCAGGCTTGCCCAAAAGCACTCTCACAATCCTGAGCTCAATCTAACCCCAAGCACCGCGACAGTGTTATCTAGCTAATATGATCTGCTCAATGGATGATTTGATATTTTGTTGCATATGAAAATGGTTTTCATGAGGTCTCCTGCATCTTTTAATAACATTTACATTTTTCCATATTATCCGCCCTGCTATGCGCTGCTGCGAAGGAAAAAAAAACGACCTCAGAGACCCCCACTAGTGAACAACAATGGGTCTCTGTCTGGAAATAACAGAAGCTCCGCCACCTTTATGGAGAGAGCGTGGCAGCATTAGCGCAGCATAAATATTAACGAGGCGACGCACAGTAAAAACGATGCAAGCTTTATCCCACAGAGCCGTATAACAAACACGCAATAAAAATAACTAAGCATAATCATATCTGCTAATGGTGATAATGGTTAAGTAAAAAATCAGACAAGCTATTATACTGCCTGCAATTCAAATGAAATCGGTTTTATTTTATATATAAACATTTTTATACGGGGCTCCAGGCTAGTGCATCATCCCAGTCTTGTAAAACTAAAGTGTATGTCAACCCTGCCAATGAATGTCTCTGACGTGCTCCCTTTTGCTCCATTAAATAGACCTTAGAAAGTGTTTTCATATTTCTGATTGATTAGTGCACACAAAAAAACAACCTGTTGATCCTGCCAGAAATCTCATGTGATCAGGGCTATCCCTACAATGAGGTAGCATGAGGGGGCAGCAGGCAGAGCAGCAGTGTTTCTGCCACCCCCCTTCCTGGCCAGAGCACCCCAGGTTGCTAAGAGCTCTTAGCAACCTCGGATGTTCTGGCTGGCGCCAGTCAGTGAGCTGGACAGGAAGCCAGTCAGTCAGTGAGCTGGGCGCCAGCCAATCAGTAAGCTGGGCAGGAAGCAAGACAGTCAGTGAGCTGGGCAGGACTCCAGCCAGTCAGTGAGCTGGGCAGGACGCCAGTCAGTCAGTGAGCTGGGCAGGAAGCCAGACAGTCAGGGAGCTGGGCAGGACGCCAGCCAGTCAGTGAGCTGGGCAGGACTCCAGGCAGTCAGTGAGCTGGGCAGGACTCCAGGCAGTCAGTGAGCTGGGCAGGAAGCCAGTGAGTCAGGCAGGATGGCAGCCAATCAGTAAGCTGGGCAGGAAGCCAGCCAGTCAGTGAGCTGGGCAGGATGGCAGCCAGTCAGTGAGCTGGGCAGGACTTCAGCCAGTCAGTGAGCTGAGCAGGAAGCCAGCCAGTCAGTGAGCTGGGCAGGACGCCAGCCAATCAGTAAGCTTGGCAGGAAGCCAGCCAGTCAGTGAGCTGGGTGGGACACCGGCCTGTACCAGAGCTAGCGTGTACCACCAGCACCCCCTTTCCGGTAACATGCACCACTGACATTCCCACCGCACATCCACCTGCTATCACCAAAGCACCTACCTTGACTTGACGAGGGCAGTCATTGGAGCAAATACCACTGAGCACTGTGTGGAGAAAAAAAAAGAAAAATCAGTTAGTCAAATGCCCGTGCAGCTAATGCTGTGGATTTGATAAAGGAGTACAGGCAGTTCACTCTGCATAGTGCATGTTCACATGGCTTAATGAATGAGTAAAAATGTGCTGACTTCAAAGGTGAACTCCAGCTTCAAAAATGCATACAGTATATACTTACATTGCTCCAGTTTGGCAATCTAAAAGTAAGACGTTCACAGAGTGAACGGCTCTGCGAACGTTTCATAAGTACACTCCTAAAAGTTCCGTTTTCAAGCACTGAAGGTATACACTCACCGGCCACTTTATTAGGTAGACCTTGCTAGTACTGGGTTGGACCCCCTTTTGCCTTCAGAACTGCCTTCATTCTTCATGGCATAGATTCAACAAGGTGTTGGAGACATTCCTCAGAGATTTAGGTCCATATTGACATGATAGCATCACGCAGTTGCTGCAGATTTGTTGGCTGCACATCCATGATGTAAATCTCCTGTTACACCACACCCCAAAGGTGCTCTATTGGATTGAGATCTTGTGACTGTGGAGGCCATTGGAGTACAGTGAACTCATTGTCATGTTCAAGAAACCAGTTTGAGATGATGTGAGCTTTGTGACATGGCGCATTATCCTGCTGGAAGACGCCATCAGAAGATGGATACACTGTAGTCATAAAGGGATGGACATGGTCAGTAGACATGTGCACTGCCAAAAAATTTGTTTAGTTTCGTTTCGTTTTAAATTCGGATTTGTGTTATTTCGTTTTTCGGGATTCGGGTGTGAAAGTCAATTCGGATTCGGAATTCGGATTCGGAGGAAATTCGGTAGCGTTAGGTCGAACGTTCGTTTCGTTTTCTGTTCTTATTCGTTTCTTATTCGTTTCGTTCGTTCGTGACATTCGAGGGGGAAAAAATATTTTTCTCCTTCTCTAATGTCACATTGCTCCAACGAACGAAACGAATAAGAACAGAATACGAAACGAACGTTCGAACTACCGAATTTCGGAAATGGAAATTCGGATTCGTTTGCATTCGTTATGTCTGTAATTCGGAATTCGGATACATCCGAATGTCCGAATTTCCGAAAATTCGTCCGAATTTCGATTCGGAACGAAACGAATCGCACATGTCTAATGTACAGCAACAATACTCAGGCAGGCCGTGGCTTTTAAATGATGCTCGATTGGTACTAAGGGGCCTAAAGTGTGCCAAGAAAATCTCCCCCACATCATTACACCACCACCAGCCTGAACCATTGATACAAGGCAGGAAGGGTCCATGCTTTCATGTTGTTTACGCCAAATACTGACCCGACCATCTGAATGTCGCAGCTGAAATCAAGACTCATCAGACCAGGCAGCATTTTTCCAATCTTCTATATTATTGTCCAATTTTGGTGAGCCTGTGCGAATTGTAGCTTCCGTTTCATGTTCTTAGCTGACAGGAGTGGCACCCGGTGTGGTCCTCTGCTGCTGTAGCCCGTCTGATTCAAGGTTGGACGTGTTGTGCGTTCAGAGATGGTATTCTGCATACCTCGGATGTAACGAGAGGTTATTTGAGTTGCCTTTCTATCATCCCGAACAAGACATTTTCGTCCACACAACTGCCGCTCACTGGATATTTTCTCTTTTTCGGACCATTCTCTGTAAACCCGAGAGATGTGTTGTGCGTGAAAATCCCAGTAGATCAGCAGTTTCTGAAATACTCAGACCAGCCCATCCGACACCAACAACCATGCCACGTTCAAAGTCACTTAAATCCCCTTTCTTCCCCATTCTGATGCTCGGTTTGTACTTCAGTAAGTCGTCTTCACCGCGTCTAGATGCCTGAATGCATTGAGTTGCTGCCATGTGATTGGCTGATTAGCAATTTGTGTTACCAAGCAATTGAGCAGGTGTACCTAATACAGAGACGGGTGAGTGTATGTGGAAACTGCAGAACACGGAGCTAGAACTGGAATTTTCCTTTAATGTCACCAGCAGGCACGTAACGTCACAATTCCCAATAAAGAAAGTAGGGCATGTGGATTTAACAGTCGCTATAATGTACGGCTCGCAGTCTCAGGAGGTAGGTCAGTGTCCCCAGGCACATTTTTCCCACAATTATGAAGCCAAATTTATAGATGGCCGATTTCCTGACCTTCCATATTTTTAGCACTTTGTATTTCAGGTTAATGAAGTGGTGTCATGGAAACGCACATTAGCGGCATACCAGCGAGACAAAAAAAATACACATTATCTCTAATTACGGTGCTTTGAGGTCCGGTAATATGTGAAAGGAGCTGGACCGCGAAGACGCGGACGTGTGGATGTGATGTGAGCCATTTCTAATAGAGGCTGAAGAGTTCCGGGGGAACTCCAGAAAATGGCGAAATGCAAGCTTGACTTCCATATATAGGAGCAGTCTCATCTGCCAAAGGATCCGACGTTCTGCTCTGCTGGTATTGTGACTCCCACCCTTTCGACCCAATGCTTAAAGTAGTATTAAACACTCAGAGGGGAATTTATCACAACTGGAACAGACAGAATCTGGAGCAACTGTGCACGGTGACCTATCAGCTTCTCTCTTTCATTTTCAAATCTTAACTGAACAAACTGAAGAGAGAAGCTGATAGGTCAATGTGCACAGTTGCTCCAGATTCTGTCTGTTCCAGTTTTGATAAATTCCCCTTTCAATGTTTTATCAGTAATGAATTGAGATCAAACGATATCCATTGTCCAGCAAAGCATTCCTTTAAAGTTTTGGCCAAGCAAACAAACAGTCATCATGTTTCTAAACAGCTCCAACTCTTTCCGCTCCGCTCCGCTCCGCTTCCCTAAACTTCCTGTCCAGTACAAGATCCCAATGGGCAACAGTCTCCAGCAGCACTCCATCTACTATCGTGGAGAAGGGAGGAGAGGGGAACAGGAGGAGGGGATTGGCTTGCCCTGCTGTGCGTTTATGGAGACACACACAGCTTACCAGCACACACATGGGTGACTCTGTAGGACCCTGCAAAGGAAAGGTAGTCACCCTAAAACAGGCATTCTATTATCCTCACAGTGCGCAGGGATCGCCAATATCCGGCATTTTATTATCCTCACAGTGCCCAGGGATCGCCAATATCCGGCACTCTATTATCCTCACAGTGGCCAGGGATTGCCAATATCAGGCACTCTATTATCCTCACAGTGCCCAGGGATCGCCAATATCTAGCACTCTATTATCCTCACAGTGCACAGGGATCGCCAATATCCAGCATTCTATTATCCTCACAGTGGCCAGGGATCGCCACAATACAGCACTCTATTATCCTCACAGTGCCCAGGGTTCGCCAATATCCGACACTCTATTATCCTCACAGTGCCCAGGGATCGCCAATATCCGGCACTCTATTATCCTCACAGTGCCCAGGGATCGCCAATATCCGGCATTCTATTATCCTCACAGTGCACAGGGATCGCCTCACAGTGCCAGCATTCTATTATCCTCACAGTGCCCAGGGATCGTCAATATCCAGCACTCTATAATCCTCACAGTGCCCAGGGATCGCCAAAATCCAACATTCTATTATCCTCACAGTGCCCAGGGATCGCCAATATCCGGCACTCTATAATCCTCACAGTGCCCAGGGATCGCCAATATCTGGCATTCTATAATCCTCACAGTGCCCAGGGATCGCCAATATCTGGCATTCTATAATCCTCACAGTGCCCAGGGATCGCCAATATCTGGCATTCTATAATCCTCACAGTGCCCAGGGATCGCCAATATCTGGCATTCTATAATCCTCACAGTGCCCAGGGATCGCCAATATCTGGCATTCTATAATCCTCACAGTGCCCAGGGATCGCCAATATCTGGCATTCTATAATCCTCACAGTGCCCAGGGATCGCCAATATCTGGCATTCTATAATCCTCACAGTGCCCAGGGATCGCCAATATCTGGCATTCTATAATCCTCACAGTGCCCAGGGATCGCCAATATCTGGCATTCTATAATCCTCACAGTGCCCAGGGATCGCCAATATCTGGCATTCTATAATCCTCACAGTGCCCAGGGATCGCCAATATCTGGCATTCTATAATCCTCACAGTGCCCAGGGATCGCCAATATCTGGCATTCTATAATCCTCACAGTGCCCAGGGATCGCCAATATCTGGCATTCTATAATCCTCACAGTGCCCAGGGATCGCCAATATCTGGCATTCTATAATCCTCACAGTGCCCAGGGATCGCCAATATCTGGCATTCTATAATCCTCACAGTGCCCAGGGATCGCCAATATCTGGCATTCTATAATCCTCACAGTGCCCAGGGATCGCCAATATCTGGCATTCTATAATCCTCACAGTGCCCAGGGATCGCCAATATCTGGCATTCTATAATCCTCACAGTGCCCAGGGATCGCCAATATCTGGCATTCTATAATCCTCACAGTGCCCAGGGATCGCCAATATCTGGCATTCTATAATCCTCACAGTGCCCAGGGATCGCCAATATCTGGCATTCTATAATCCTCACAGTGCCCAGGGATCGCCAATATCTGGCATTCTATAATCCTCACAGTGCCCAGGGATCGCCAATATCTGGCATTCTATAATCCTCACAGTGCCCAGGGATCGCCAATATCTGGCATTCTATAATCCTCACAGTGCCCAGGGATCGCCAATATCCGGCACTCTATTATCCTCACAGTGCCCAGGGATCTCCAATATCCAGCATTCTATAATCCTCACAGTGCCCAGGGATCGCCAATATCCGGCACTCTATAATCCTCACAGTGCCCAGGGATCGCCAATATCCGGCACTCTATTATCCTCCCAGTGCCCAGGGATCGCCAAAATTCTAACACTGTATTAGGTAATTATTGTCCTCAAAGCTTCCTTATTAATAACTTCCCCACCTCCTAATGTCCCTCTTCCTGTCCCCTTCATATCTTCTTATTGATAAAGGTAAAAGGATCTGACAAGAAGGTGCCTGGATATGCCAGATTTAGGGCCCTTGGCGCTACAAGGCTAGGAGAGACCACAGAATGACTTTAAGAAAGAAAGATGTGTATGTATATGTGTATGCAAACATATTGCAGAGACAGACACACATAGAGACATACATTGATATTTTTTTACATTGTTATAGATTGAGTAAGTGTGAAAACATGTATCCGCTCCTCCAGGCTGGGTATAGAAATGCTATATGAGTTGATCGGAAGGATTTTAAACCTCGGATGAAACGTGCCCCAGAACTGGTTACCCGACAGACTGCGACTCGCTCACTGATGCGTGCTCTGTCTTCGTTTAAAATGCCTAAACATAGTGAAAATGTCTAACTCTACCATCAGCCAGGGGGAATCATAATTTAAACGCATGATTTGACAAGAAATTGGTGCAGAAAACGCCAAACAGAAAATAGTTTTCACTGAAATATCTGCAACGATCGGTTTCATTGACGTTATCAAAAGTGGGCGGCGACATTTTTGCCTGAAAGTGAACCTGTTCATATAATGAAAATATACAAATGCAGAGGACATCTTTAATCACTGGTTGAGGTTATATATAGATCTTGATGTAAAATTTGATCTTGACACCACGTTCTAAGATTCCCTATTGGTCATTTAGGCTTATCAACCATATTGAAAGACCAATAAGGAGGCTTGAGAGGTGGATGGGGTGGGGAAACACGGACAAATCTACCTGCACTTGAACACAAACGATCCATCTCCCGGCACACTCTGGGGACCCCTTGTTTTTGGAAAACTGGGTTGCGTCTTATGCATCCTGCAAGTCCCAGGTCATGCTAGGACTTACAGCTCCTCAGCAGCTGAGGGTCAAAGGATGTAGGTCAAATGAAGCAGATTGTAGTCTTGGCCCTGATGACAGATTGCGTACTCACAGAAATTCAGCCTTCTGTCTGTGAAACTGAAGTCAGAGCTTTGCAGGAGCAGATGACCAATTACCATCTCGCTGTCCCTCCCCGGCCCCTTTAATACTCGCTAAACATCTGTTTAGGAGCGCACTCGACTCTGTGCCAAGACATACAGCTAGACCAGGCAGACAGTGCCTGATTAAACCGCCGTGCTCCGATAAGGTTCCCCCGTCCCCACACCTTGCAAAGCAATTCCTTTATTATGCCTAAAATACAAACTTTTTGATCTATCGGCAAATTAGCGGGGACTTTACAGAACTGATAAGGATTTTCTTTGTCTCCGATTTGAAAAAGGGAGACGATAGGCATTCGTTTTGTTATGTGACGACTTTAATTAATCCTGAGTGCTTAAATGTAAAACTGAGAGCAAAAGGAGACAGAGAAGAAACAAAGGACGAGAGGCGAGGAGGAAGGAATGGAAAATCAAGATTATGAAGAAGAGAAGAAAATGCCCCCCAGCCCCATTTTCATCTCATCTTCATAATCTCAAAAAGAAATGTGTTTTAAAAAAAAATGTTGTGGAGTAATTTTGCCACAAAAGTACAACTATCGGATTTGCTGCCAATGACCTTTCAATTGTGTAGCCTGGGAAATCTATGTACGCTTGTTTTAAAAAAAGGAGATTTACTTAACCACCTGGCCCTTTATTATCCCCTATGTAGCGGAGCAATTTTTACATTTCAACTGTTTATTTGCTGATAACTTTGTAATTACTTGAGATAAAGTCATACATGCACTACTTTTGGGAAACACTACAGGGGATATTCACTTAGCTGCCAAAGGCAGCCGAGTGAATAACCGAGCCGAAGTGAAGTGAGTCGAACGCTGTTCGGCTAATCACTTCGACCTTGTACGACTGATTTCAGACGTACATCAGCTATAATCAGCCGGACATCGGCTGCCTTCGGTCAGCCGAACATGCTCTGTTCGGCTGAGCCGCAGTGCAGAAGGAGTTCGACTCAGCCCATCCAACATCTGGATGAGCTGAGCCGAAGCTCTGGCAGCTCACTCGCTGCCGTTCACCCCATTCTAGTAACCTTCAGATTTTTTAGTATAAAACAATAGTGTAATGTGTGCCTTACTGTAATCCATGTTAGATACACGGTGTCTGTGTATAGGTTTGTAACCTGAGCCAGCACTACAGGAAGAGGCCCTGAGCTGCAAAGGGAAGTTCTCCCCCAGCATAAGAAGACATGAGGATTTAAAAGGAAGAGCAGCAAAGAGAAGGGAAACTACCATGGATTACAGTAATGGTTTATGTTAAAAAAATCTGAGGGTTTAATGCCACTTTAATTGTATTTACTCAATGACACTTGCAGACTATCTGTCAGTGTCATTTTACACAGCTGCATTTTAATAGTCATTCATGCTGTGTAATACAAAGCAAATACCGGTTGTCATTTTGACAGCCGGTAATTAGGACTACTAGTGGCAGGGGGGAAAGAGCAAGACATTTAGGCCTCATTCACGCGTATGCGTGTATTGTACCATATGCAAATAAATGGCTTCATACACATAGTTGCGTATGGAGCCGTATATTTGCGTAGCGTAAAAATGCGCAAAAACAGAATGGAACCGAGATGCGTCCGGGCAGCGTATTTTACGCACATATTGTAACAGACTTACCCGTCCTCGGTCCAGTGCTGCCTGGCGGGGCCGAGCACAGCCAGCTTGGCAGCCAGCTCCTCCCCTTCAGGGCCGTCCAGCTCGGCAGCTAGCTCCTCCCCTTCAGGGCCGTCCAGGACGGCAATCAGCTCCGCCCTCTCACGTCCGTCATGTACAGGACCCAGCTCCTCCCCTCCTCGCTCGGCAAGGAGGGATTTAAGGGAGCTGAATTGTTTGTTCAGCGTCTGACCGTTGTGAACGGTGCACGCCGAACAAGACGAGGAGTTGGCTATTGCAGCACATGCACCAAAGGACCCAGCAGCGATCCCTCTAAAGCGCAAGTAGCCTGAAGGCATATGTGACAGTATCTACAGGGTTGCTGACTTATGCCATAATACTAAATCTGGAGTTAAATGGATTGTGAAGTGCTGTTGTGAACTTAAACACTGTGAAGGGGTGGATAACATAGTCTGTGCCTCAGCTCTCATATTCCTTCAATAGACTGTTAACCTGCTCACTACTGATTGTCTCCTGCTGGAGCTATACTTATATACTGTCATTTCCTTCAGTAGTCTACTATCAATAAGCATTGCTGAACCTGTGTGACTTCAAGCTGTGAGGGGTATTGCTATCGCAGTCTGTGCCTCTGTTTCCACATCCCTGCTAAAGACTGTTAACTAGTTCAATGCTGATTACCACCTGTCGTAGTTAAACCTGTGTGCTGTGAAGGTTGAAGTTTTACCAGGGGAGTTACACACTGCTAGGAAGCATTTCCCGCACACTTGCTGGGACTGGATTGGTTCAGTACCTTTAACCACACAACTGAGTGACTAGAACCTGCTGTAGTGACATAGTGTGAATTGTGTGTTGCGTCTCCTATAAACACTACCGACTTGTTGCGCTGTGGAAGCAGGTGTGTTGGAGGGATTCGCAATACTCAGTTCACCCAAACTAGATCAGGGGAACCAGGAGACCCTGTAGCACTCACCTACCCCTTCTCCTCTGCCGATACTAAACTCATAGTTGCCCAAGTGGCAGGGAATGATGTGAAGTGATTCCAAACCCTCCATCAAACACTAAATGGAGTGTGAAGGAAGGAATCAAAACTGAACCCTGTCATTACACCAGTAACTCCGCAGTTTAGCGTCCAGTTATAGCCTCACGGGTCATTACACATATATGCGTGTTTACGCGTGTACAGTTCATTAAAATTATTAAGAATGATGCATTCTGGGATTGCATATAGTGCACGCATATAGGTGCATGTACACGTATATACAATTTTGCTCTTACGTTGTGTGTGAAGGAGGCCTTAAGATGCATCCTAAAAACCCTGCTGATATTTCTTAGGACGTATCTCTTATGTTCAAAATCCCCAACTGATTAAGGCGACCCTGTCTTTAGAGTCATCAACCAGTCATCATCGACCAGTAGCCGGGTGGCGAGCCTATTCTTTGCTGTCTAGCAGAGATATGAGTATGGCTGCTATCCAACACTTTAAAGTGTCTCAGATAGGACAACCCGCTGGGTGTAGTGGATCCTTCTGCCTTTGGTAACGAATGCAGTAGTGGGGTTGTGGCCACTGGCTCCGTTTCTGCATCCATCAATCCGCCTGCTCCTTGATGATTGGGGAGTCCGAGCTTCGACTCAGCAGGGAGTGCCAAACCTCTGCAGAGAGATCACTGCTTCCCCACAGAGAGCAAGGGTCCTTGTCTGCAGCACACTGACAGGCCATAGGTTCTTCTACTCAGACTGTAATTGCTTTAGAAAACAAAACAACTGCAAGTCATTGAACACCTTTTGATTTGACGCACTTGAAATGTATTTACTGTAGCTGATTTAAGCTGAAGGTTTAATTGGGCTTTAAAAACAGCTCTGCGCAGTTCAGCTACCATTTCCTTGAGTGCACTGTGTTGGCTTGTAACCGGTCCCTATAGGTTACGCCATATTACTGCTTCTCGTGCATTCGTATTCCAGGAAGCCCAACGTGTTTCACACTGTATTTCAGGAATGGAGTGTGTGGGTGGTTTTCAACTTGGAGCAGTAAGAAACTGCGAAAAAAAATAAGGCAAGGTGACATATGCTCGCTAAAACAAGGTCTCACACCCCCTTCCGAACATATGTTTCTTTAAAAATGAAAACTGGTTTGTTTCTGGTTGGCATAGAAACAATATTTTAGCTGGTTTAGGCAAAAGCATCATTTCACATCATCACTCATACATGGCAGGAGGGAATGCCAACGTTTCCTCATTACCTATGACTTTGACAAAATAAGCGTCGGCTTCGAAGTTATTCAGTAAGACGTGGATGGCGTTGTCATCAGGACTTCCTGTGCTGAGCACGATGATGTCCAGGATGCCCTGCAAAATAAATCAGATTGGCCACAATGAATAGAAAGGCAGACCAGAAAAAGAATTGGCTATGTGGTCTACAGACTGTATTAGCTGGAGGTAGTGTGGACATCAATTATGTTAAAGGGTCAGAGTAAATGGATTCAATATTTTTTAATTATTGGTGGAACCAGGTGAGCCGAGTCAGCCCCTGGCTCCTTATATGTTTTGGAAACTCTTACAGTGAGACCTCACTTCTATAATTCCTGGTAGGGATGCACCGATACTAGTATTGGTATCAGTCCCGAGTATTTGGCCGAGTACTCGTACTTGCCCAAATGCTCCCATTCTTACCTCCGATATCGGAACTTCCGGTCAGAGGCAGATCTCCCTCTGACCAGCAGTGCCGAGGGAGCATGGAGACGGCTTCCTTTCCAATCAGGAAGCCGGGCGGTGGGTAATAACCCGCCTTCCTGATTGGCTAGGAAGCCGGCTTCATGTGTTGCTAAGCACCCTGGCTTCCTAACCAATCAGGAAGCTGAGCAGCACGTAATGACCCGCATTCCCGGCTTCTTGATTTATCAGGAAGCCACGTTGCCTAGGAACAAGTGAACCAGGCTTGCTAGCCAATCAGGAAGCCGGGAGGAGGGTCATGACGTGCCGCCCGGCTTCCTGATTGGCTAGGAAACCAGCTTTACTTGTTGGAAGGCAGTCTGGCTTCCTAACCAATCAAGAAGGCGGGCGGCATGTCATTACTCGCGTCCTGGCTTCCTAATTGGTCCGGAAGCCAGGCAGCCTCTGAAGCCGGTGTTCTTTTGCTAGTACACCGGCTTCACAGGCAATCAGGAAGCCGAGCGACAGGCCATGATCCACCGCCCGACTTCCTGATAATCAGATAATCAGAGCACACGGATCCGGTACTTGGTATCGGCGAGTACCAAAAATAAATAAATATCGGTACTCATATTTGATACCGAAAAAACGGTATTGGTGCATCCCTGATTCCTGGTTCTGTATCTGTCCACCTGGGAGTTTTGGATGTTTCCTGTGTTCCAGCTCCTCCTGCTACATTCTCCATAATATAAAACAAATACAAATTAGGAAGGATCAATGGGAACCCATTATAATGGGCATAAAAGACATGCGGACCTGGGAACTCAGCACAGGGGTGGTGGGAGACCCTCATAATGGCCAAAGCAGGTTCACAGATCCAGGAACATGTTAGAAAAATTGATTAGCCCATTCCCT